GAAGAGCACGATCGATCCTCATAGGGTGTGCAAGTCAAAGAGGTTCATAACTAAGGTTATGTTCCTATGAGTAGTAGGCAGAACTCTATTTTCAGACAGTGGTGAAGTGCTTTGGAATGGTAAAATAGGCATGTTCCCATTCATTTAAAAGGTAGCAAGTAAAAGGAGAAGCAAAAATAGATATGTAGGGGTGATGGAAACAAAGCTTATAGTTATCATCACAAAGGAAGTGTTCAAAGACATGTTAATCAACACTGTCTTACCAACAATTAAGGCAAAATGGCCAGAATGCTTAACCAAGAACATTGTGATCCAACAAGATAATGCAAGGCTACACATGTTAGGCTCATATGCATATTACATGGCTGCATCCCAAGGATATGGATTCAATATAAGCCTGACTAACCAACCCCCCAATTCCCCATATCTTAACATACTAGACCTTGGATTCTTCAGGGCAATACAGTCATTGAAAGATCAAAATGCACCCAGAAATGTTGATGAACTATTACATGCAGTTAATGAAGCTTTCTATCACCTATCACCCATCACTTTGAACAAGGTATGGTTAAGTTACCACACCATGGAAAAGATAGAATGATCACAGAAGGGAGGCTACTCATTGCTATTGAGGTAGATGTTGGACTGGTAGAAGCCATATGAGGCTTCTTGTCCAAACATGCAACCTCTTCTACTCGCATACAAGGGGAAACTGAGGGGCATTTCATAATTGAAGAGGATGAAGAACTGCAACAGGATGAAAAATGATTTTGGGTTTTGTTGTACAGGCCTTTTTTGTCATTTTTGTACATGCCTTAAGAGTGTGTAAGATCAAATGTGTACAGGTAAAACCAATACACTCATCGGAGTAGCTGGCCCTATATGTAGGAGAGGCCTAGATTTTAGTCATTTTGTATAAGCATGGTTTTTGTCATTTTGTAGAGGTCAATATATTTGTTGTGGTTGTGTAGAGGCCTATATAAGTTTTAAAGCTACTCAGAAAATATTTCACCATTGTAGCTTAACAAAAACCTTTCTCAGACCCAATGTTTATCAAGGTAGTCTCACAGATTACTTATCATAGCAGCCTCACACTAACATTGGTCACAATGCTCAGACTTAAAATGTCTTCATAGCAGCCTCTTACAACACATTGGTCAGACTAATATGGTCATCACAATAGACTAAAAAACATTGCTCAGAATCAAATTGACATCATTCCAGCCTCATACAAACCTTGCTCAGACTTAAAAAGTCATCATTGCAGCCTCACACTAACCTTACCCAGCCCATATGCTCATCACAATTGCCTTACACAGTGGTCACAGAAACACAAGCCTAGATGCATACCAACCAAGCATCACACATTCCTTACCTGGCCCACATATTAATCATTACCAACAATTTAAGAAAAAGAAACACCATATTTTCATCATTGTTGTCCCAAAACAAACACTGCACTACACACACAACGTATATGTAAGCCAAGGCAGACGAGCAAGTCCACAACAATAGCCTTACATGATGCTCACACAAACACAACCAACAGAGAGGAGTCAAACATACAAAAAGTGATTAAGAAAGAAACTCCCCTGATTGAAAAAGAACTCATACATCCATGTCCCACATCCTAGATTCCCCAGCCGGGTAGGATGATTTTTAAGAAGGCCTCTAGACGAGGATTTGAACATAGAGGGTGCATTTCCACCTCTTTCCATTTTTTCTCCTTTTACTCTTCACTGTCTGGAACCACAACCTCCTTGGGGTGTTCAACATCCTCCTCCTCTTCACTGTCCAAACCCACTAGCTCCATCGGACCTTGACCGTCGTCCTCATCCAGTGCCTTTTCGTTGTCCGGAACCAGAAGGTCCACTGGTGCTTGACCGTCGTCCACATCTAGCTCCACTTTGGTGTCCGAAACCACAAGGTCCATCAGACCTTCACCATATTCGTCGCCCGACTCGACTTCACTGTCTGGCACCATCAGTGAGCCCATGGAAGCTGACGTGCACTTGTCGTGAGGTGCACTCAAAATAAATACAATACAACAAATATACGTAGTATATTGAAGTAAGGTTCGTATCCACAGGAAAAGGAATACTTTTCTTTTATATTAATAGTAACAAGGGAGGTTTTAAGTTTGATTTGATTCAATTTAATTAACACTAAGATGAACGACTTATATGAGTTTAATTAATAGAGATGAGGACTTGGTTTTGCTTTTATCCACTTAATGAAATGTTCGTCGATCCTGGTTATATCTTTAACTATCTTCCTCTCGAATACTCAATCGAGGAGTATATCCAGTTCATCGAGGGTAGTTATTAATAACGAGATGCGTTCATTAATAAAACTTACTACTGAGTCAATATAGAACACGCGCCGTATATTAGCCCGATAGTAGCAATAAACTTAAGATGAAAATGATTGAGATTGATAACCTCAACACAGGCGGTTTATTGGTTTAATCAATATAATTAATTCCCCTTAGATTATTAACCATGAGACGCATGCATTAATAATCCATGTTTTACTACCGTTGAAAGAACCGAATTAATAACAAGCGTATTAATCGATTGATTCTAGTAATAATTAATATATGAAACAAAACTAGTTGATCCTTTAAGTAATGCTCAAAATATTAATATGGAATATGAAAAGGAAATAATTAATATTCAAGGAAGAAGATTAAAGAAAATAACTCACAACTTACAAATTCATTAAGATTCAAAGTAGCAAAACCAAGATGGAAGAGTTTAGCTCCTCATTTGGAGACTAAACATGAAGAAAATATAAAGAAAGAACTATTCTAGACTGAGCTTAGAAGTATATGTGAATTGGTGATCTCATTTTGAAGGAAAGGAGATGTATTTATAGGCTTTTTGGGATGCAACTCGGGTACCCGATCGGTGATATGCACGGTACCCGACCGGGTATGTGTAATACTTCAGATTCGAGGTATACTCGATCAATTAAGGAGTAAATTATATAAGCATACCCGGTCGAGTATATTCTTGTACCCGATCGAGTATGCCTAAAACCTCATATCTGAGGTATACTCGATCGATTTCAGGTTTAATTCAGAAAGGATACCCGATCGGGTGTGTCGGTGTACCCGATCGGGTATAGACACTCGATCGTGGTCAAAATCTTCCCTGCATGTTCTTTTGTCTTCGGATCCGATCCGATTTGAAATTTCAACAAGATACCCAATCGAGTGTAGGTGATACCCGATGTGGTATAGACCAAAAAATCAGGATCTTCCTTTTGTCTTGTGATTTCGCACCTTCCTTCCACTTTTGGGGTTCACTAACTGTCTTTTGAGTGATCAAGACATGTTTGAGCTCAGAATAAACCTAATCTAAACAATTTACAAGTATTTAACAAACTAAACTATTACACCAAAAGTGTGTAATTTCCAAAGTAAAAATCAATCAAAACTAATTAAAAACACAAACATACATGTGGAACGTATCAGAAGCATAGCATGGACCTAGATCTTCACATAGGGTTTCAGAGCTTGATTCTAGATCCATGAAAGTCGGATATTAGGTTTAGGGATTTCATATAAGGACATACGATTAGATCAACAAAGAAGCTAGGGCTGTAGTCGATTTGAAATTAGAGAAGGAGGGGAGGCGGTGCATCAGAGAGCGACGGAAGAGTGAAGGAGGGGATGCGGTGCATCCGAAGTGTGTGTGTGTGTGAGAGAGAGAGAGAGAGAGAGAGAGAGTGAGATAATGCGAGAGAGCGAAGGAATAATGGACTGAACAAAGAGTGGGAAAGAGAGTAAGTGGGAAAGAGAGTAAGTAGGAAGGTTAATTATCAAAAGGGGCAAAATAAGGTTTTTAATAGTAGAAAATTTCATTTTTTAGTAAGTGAGAAGTATTTTTTGGAACCACCCAAAAAAGAAAGCGGGAAGTATTTTTTGGGACAAAGGGAGTATATTTTCAGCTTCTTAAATGTAGGTTCTTAATTAAAATCATATTACATATTCTAAAACCTCGAATTAAATGTTCTAAAACTATAGACATTAATTAAGACAATTTATCGACAAAAAAAAAAAGAAATGAAAATTAAGACTAACGATACTTATTAACGAAAGAAGAGAATCGTAAATGAGTGTCCAAAAATGACGGATTATGAAACAAGTCCCTAGCCCTACAAACAAGATCCCCACCCAGCACCCAGCCCCCAATCCCCACCCCTATCCCTATGCACCAGATAACCCAGCCCGGGCCATACGCACAAGATCCCCAACTAACCCCCAGCCCTTACTCCTTGTCCCCTGCCCCACCCCCGGTCGTTCCCTCAGGACCTCTCGGACATAGAGGACGGCGGATCTATAGCCTGTTGTGCCAAATCGGATTTTTTGTCCACTGAGATTTGCAGAACCGGAATTAGCGGCCTTAAATCAAGTCGTCATCCATCAAGCAAGGTGGAACCCTTATGTGGGACTGAGGCAATAGTTCAAAATGTTTTCAACCAATACAAGCAATCACTCCTATTTTGGGAGATTTTTTTTCTCGTTTTTGTATTTCAAATTTTCACACTAATTTTACTCCGTAGGCCGTTCAAACGCACTACTTATAGTTTGAGGAAAGATGGAATCAATCGGTGGGCGTAGCTCAACTGGTAGCAAGAGAGTGCCACAAGAATTAGGTCCCGGGTTCGAATCCCGGCAACTGCGACGAGAGGTTACTATGTTAAAAATGCATAGGGCCTCTGCAAGTACCGGATACAAAGTCCCACTCTCTATCTTTCAGATTGAGATTATAGTCCAATTTACATCCTCCCAACGTACTGTCCGGTCAAGGTTAGAGGGTTCTCAGGGATGGGGTGTCATCCTTTTTTAGGAAAGATGGAATCATTTTAATTTTCAAAGATGAAGTTGAGTAATCAATACTTCCTCCATTTCTTAAAACTTTATCAAGTTTGACCGATACGAGGATTAATAAAGTAAAAACTGTGTGATAAAGGTTTATGCAGAAGAGAGAGAATTAAAGGAGTCACAAATTATTTACTTAAATGAGAAAGTGACAAAGTTAGTAAGACAAAGGAAAAAAGAAAGTTGATAAAGTTTTACTAAAGTGAGTAGTAAATAGAACCAACATTATTTCCAATCCGACATCATGATTTAATTAGCAGACACAAAGTGTCTTTACTACACATAAAACACCAACAACATTAACTCCAAAACAAACACACAAACATATACTAGATACACAACACTTTAGATTAGATGGGATTGGATTTGTGCCCAAGCAAATAGATTTATTGATGAAATATTAGTTGATGAGTACTGATTAAGCAATGCCCAACCACTGCTTCACTGCCTGGATAAGCTTGTGAGGATCAGGAAGAGTCTTGGAAACACTCTCCCTCTCCATGCACCTCTTAGCCCAACCAATCAACTTGGGACACTCAGTTTCTATGCTGAAATTGCCAAAGCTCTCAAACACATTAAACCAACTGTAGAATCCAATAAGGGAAATATCCACAAACCCAAACTTTTCACCCCCAAAGTATGGTTTCTCTCCCAATTCTCCTTCCAACACCTTTAGGACTTCTATAAACTCCTTCTTTCCAGCCTCCTGTTCTTCGCCCTTTAAAGTCCATGTTTTCTTACTAGTTTCATAAACCTGTAGTTGTGCAATAATGAGTTCATCTCATCATATGTCCCATTGATGTGTACAAAATTGGTCAAAATACTATCCTATTTATCAATACAATTAGTAGTCTTTTTTACTTGTTTGACTAAAATAGATGTTACCTGACACTTTTACAGTTTTACTAAAATCAGAAAAACATCCCTTACCGAGAAGGCCATAATTCATAAGGATTCAATACCAAATTCAGAAAATTGTTAGACCTATTCAATATGAAATCCCTAAATAGTAGTTTTCTTAAATACTCCATCATACCTCTGGGGGTGGGCAATTCGATTTGTAGTTCAGCTTTTATCGGTTTAGGTTTAGGTTCAGTTTATTTAGGTTGGGAGATTTTGTATCAAACAAAAAAATTGTGTTCCGGTTTTGTTTTAGTTCAATTTGGGAATGGTTCGATTCGGTTTGGTCTCAAGTTCGATTACGAAAGTGTAGACCATTTGGTTGAATTTAGTTAAGGTTGATTCGGTTTCATATGTTTATTTCTTTATTTGATTTATACATCCAAGTTCAATTTTTTAAGAAATCGAAAATGAAAATTGTAGTCTATCACACCTTGTTGCATTTATTATTTAAATAAAATGTGAAGGAAAATAAAAGAGAAAAAATAAAATATTATAAAATAACACCTAATTTCTTTTACTAGGATTGATGACATGAAAATGTCTAGCCGTTTCTCAACCACTAGAAAAAAGATTCGCCTCTTATCAAAGTGTTAAGTTTATAGTTGATTAACATTTATAATATTACATAAATTGTTCAAAGAAAATTGAATGAGTCAACCGTAAAAAATGTTGTAAAATTCATACTCCCTCCGTCCCGGTCATTTCTTCCAACTTTCCTTTTGGGCCGTCCCAATTAATCCTTCCAACTTCCACTTTTGGAAAAAATATGTGGTTCACATTCATTCACCTTTTTCTTACACAACTTTTTTTGTTTTTTTTTTTCTATCTTTTGTTATACTTTTTTTTCTACTACCTAAATTTGCGATACCGGTCAAAACCGGAAGAAATGACCGGGATGGAGGTAGTATTTTTATTCAAATGAATCATGTAAAATGTACTCCATGTCCATTCTAAGGTTCTTACTTTCTTTTTTTGAACGTCACATATAAAGGTTCTCATTTCTATTTTTAGGAAACAATTAACACTCTTAAGTGATTATTTAATCATCAAATATTAAAACTAATATATTTATTTCATCACAGTTATCATCAGTGACCCCATTATATTATATAATCATCAAAACTATTTTATATACTCGAATTATCTAATTTAATTATTCTCTAAATAATTGTGTCATTTTACAACGAGAACCCTTAAACAGAGCGGAGGTAGTATATTCTACTATACTTTAACTGAAATTGATATAAATGTAATGTGCTATTATCATCACCAAACATATTTTCATACAGAGTACAAAATATAACAAATACAAGTGTGGTATATTAGCTAACTTAGTTATAATGAATGCACAAAAATGTGCAAGAGATTAAATGATAATGCACAAAAATACAAGTGGTGTATTTTTCATATTTACGTTAATTATTTTTATCCTAAAGATGAAAGTTGAAGACATAAAAAGTATTTTAATATTAATTAAAAATTGTTCGGCTCGATTTATGATTTTTCAATTTAAAATCGAAGCAAACCATTCAATTTGACCAAATTATTACCAAACAGCTTATTTTAGTTAACCCAAACCAAATTAAAGTACCAAATTAAAGTACCAAATTGAACTAAACCGCTTCGCCTTTGCCCGGCCTACCTCCATACAAGGACTATGCTAGGTCGCACCATCCAAAAATTAGCATAGACTTTGATTACATGTATAGAAATAGAAAAAATGTACTCCAAAAAAAGTCAAATGTACTCCAATAAAAGTCTATCTCAAAAAGTCTTTTCAAGGCTTTAGCGGGCTCCGCCTTTGTCCCTTGAAAAGTTAATGTATACTAGCTTCATCCCATTTTACCTTTCTCAATCATCCAAAAATAAGCATCATATTTTTTGGGCAATTTATATCGTGCAACCGGCGCACCATTAGTATGATGCGCCCGGTTGCAAAACGACGATGACTTCATTCAAAACGCAGTTGCAGTGGCTTCATTCCATTATTTTTTATTTCTTTTATTGTTAAGAATTATAATAACTTTTTTATTTGATATCCGATTTTTATAAATTTTATATCAAATTTTTTTATTTTTCATGATCTATCAAATGAGACCAATGTTGCTTATGTAATTTTAACAAATTATTTTGAAATTACATTTGATAATATATCATGAAGTTACATCTTCTTCTGTGCGAGTTACATCTGTTTGTACGCGAGTTACATCTTAATATACGTGAGTTACATCTTAATGCATGTGAGTTACACCACGAAATAAACCCCTACTACATCTCATTTTTATCATTTGAAAGATAATGTATGAATATGAAATACAATATACTTATTTTATGTGGATGAATAAAATTTTGTATTAAATTGGCAAAGAAAAAAATTAATTCAGTTATAAATGAATTAGTTCAAGATAAAGATATGTAAAAATATCACAAATAATTAAATATAACTCACACATAATTACATGTAACTCGCGCATAAAAGTATGTAACTTGTGTATAACAAGATGTAACTCACACATAACAAGATGTAACTCACACATAATAACTTGTAACTGGAGTATAAGATGATGTAACTTCGTATATTATCAAATGTAACTCCAAGCTAGAAGCAAAATAAACAAACTCAATATCTTAAAAACCTCTAAAAACATATAAAAGTGATAAAAAAAATATTATAGAAAAAGTGTATGCATATAAAAATATATTACAAAAAATGTATGAATGTAAAAAATTAAAATTACATAGGCAATATTGGTCTCATTTGAAAGATCATGAAAAAAAAATTGATATAAATTTTATAAAAATCGGATCAAAAATAAAAAAATTATTAACAATTTTAAGAAAAGGAGAAATAAAAAATAACAAGGGTCCATGCACCGGTTCCCCGGTATAAGCACTGTTTTTTTTTGAAAAGAAATATGTGATTCACTATATTTCACTTATTATAATCAAATTTTAACTATAACTTTTACTTATTCAATAACTTTATTAATAATTGTGTAGAAAGATATATAAAATGGGGCGGAAGTAATGCTACTTTTTTTAACATATAGGTTTTTTTAACAAAATAGAGGGACTACCGCCCTCCAACAAGAATTTTTTTAGTGTATATATATGAAAAATAATTTTCTCCCTCCCAAAAAATATTTTGAACCCTCCAAAAAATATTTTCGCCCCTGACTTTCCTGGGTCCGCCCCTGCAAGTTATAAAGTTGACTCAAAAACACGCCTAAACTATAGACGGAGTACTACACATCTAAGCTATATATAGATCAAAAAAAAATATACACTTCTCAATTTTCTAAGCTATGGATCAAAAGTATAAAGATATTGATCTATAGGGTTTTTTACTCAACTCCAAGAGGGGTTAAGCTTTATGTCCTTATATTTTCTGAATTACACTTCATAACAATACTGATTCATCTATGCTTTTTTAGTCTTTTAGATGGGCAAGTAAACTTTATGCAGGTGAAATTATATAAAAAGAAATTTTGCAATTTTAGTACTCCCTCCGTTCCTAAAAATTCTTCCCGGTTTTACTTGGCACGCTTATTAAGAAAGTAGAATAAAATGGAAATGTATGGTTGTGGTTGTGTAAGAAAAAGGTAAAATGAATGTGAGCCACACAAATTGTCCAAAATGGGAAAGTGAGAAGTATTTTTGGGAACAGCCCAAAAAGGAAAGTGGGAAGTATTTTTGGGAACGGAGGGAGTATATTTTTATTGGACTGAATTTTTTTTATCTGATATGATCATGCTTGATCTGATTTATTTAAATCTTGTTTAGTTTAGTAAATGTATGATCATTGTGTATTTTACAACTGTCAAAGTCTAGTCTAATCAGTTTAATTCTAGTCCGACCTATTCTGTTTTTGGACGAAAACACCCTTAGTAAACTATATAGATTTTAAACTTTCCTCATATAGTTAAGAAATTTCCGATAGAGAAATTCTTAAATCGCAAAGTTACTCCGTTCGTCCCTGATTAAATTTCCAAATTTTCTTTTAGATGTTCCAAAATAAACTTGCAATTTCTTTCTTTGATAGAGAATTTGTGTTTCACGACAATTCTTACACAGAATTTAATGGGGCACGCAAATTAATTGTATACCTTTTTGTCAACGTAGTCGGCCCAGAATCTAGCCTGCGATTTCTGGTAAGGATCGGACGGGAGCAAAGGGGCTTTGTCCTTCCAAACCTCGTCAATATACTCCACTGCGATGGTGGACTCGCAGACCGGCTTGCCGTTGTGGATGAGAACCGGGAACTTCTTGTGAACCGGGTTCATCTTGAGAAGCAGGTCGCTCTTGTTCGTGAGGTCCTCTTCTCTGTACTCATACTTGATCTCCTTCTCGGCCAGAGCAATCCTTACCCTCATCCCAAACATGCTGGGCCAGATGCTCAACAATATCACATCTTCTTCTTGAGCCATTTCACTCCCCAAAGAACAAAGGCAAAAAAGAAAATTGCTATGGAGGATATTGTTTGGCTGATGACTGGAGCTTGTTAAATAGAGTAGTCAGCTGTGTGTGAAGTTGCGGGGAAATTGCCCCTCAAGAGTCAAGCCTCTAGATTTGCAAATTTGTTTTTATTTTCTTATTTTGAATGTCAAATTTTTATCATAATCTATTTAACTTTTACTGTTATAAAGTTTACGGTTTTACGGAGTAAATTACTCCAGCCAAGTAACACTTACATAAAGAGAGGAACATATTAGGTAGTACACTCTCGGTCCGAATTGATTTGCAAACTTTGACTGCCACAAGTATTAAGGAATGACAATAAATGATGTCTTCTTTTTACATTTTTGTCCATCTTCCTAAAAGTAGATGCCCTCAAATTAATGAAAAAGTAAAGGTAAATTTGTCATTTTATTCTTATTTACATACCTAAAATAGAAATTGGAAAACTATTTTGGGACAACCATAATAGGAAATTTTACAAATCAAATTGGGACGGAGGGAGTATGTCATATTGAAATAGTCATAGTAAAACAATAACAATTAAATAATTATTACTCCGTGCAAAATGCTTCTGAGAATACTTTTAAAGATCGTATCACATTAGATCGGTTCAAATATAAATAGATCATACTAAACTTCAATAGTTGTAAAATATAGAGAGACCTAACATTTATTAGACAAGATCAAATGTGACCAATTCAAACCAAATCAAATTAGATCAGGTCATAAAATTTCAATTCAATCAAAAACATCTTAAAAACATTCTTTATGAAATGCATAAATATGGAAATTTCAATCCATTTTAAAGTGTAAATATGAAAAAACTTCTCCATTCAACTCCATTGTCAAAAAAATTATAAAACCCGACTCCACAGAAGTCATAAAGCCTATGGCCTCATAATTTCCATTTAGCTGGTGAATTTATAATGGAGGCCCTTGCTTACAAATTAAAAAAAAAAAGAAAGTAATTTCACGATAAAGCATAGTACCAACCAGAGATACAAACCAACATTTATTTCCATATAGTAATCCAAGGTGAGATTCGACTATGTTGCATTAAAAAACTGTATATTGCATTGAAATATGCAATTTAACACGATGAAATTTTCATAAATACTTCTAAAAATCCGTTTTACAATTGTCTAGTGCAACATGAAGTTGTTTTGATGCATTATCTTCAAATTCTAGTGCAACATAAATCTGTTCCAGTACAACGTACATTGTATAAATTAAATCCTACTACAATACAAAGCTATTTTTAGCGCAATATACTAAATCTAACGATTGAAATTCATTCTCATTTCTCACATTAGTGGAATTTTTCATTTGACCGAAGTCTATTAATCCAACAAGTATCTAGCAAGACACAACCAAGTGTCCTTGCTACACATAAGACTCCAACCACACCACCTCCTGCAAAGAGACACATAAACCTCAAGATGCATTCACAACACCTCCAAACTAGCAAAGATTGGATTTGAGCCCAAGTAAATTGAGCATATTTATTTATTGATGAAATATTAGTTGATAAGTAGTGTTTAAGCAATCCCCATCTTCTCCCTCCTTATCTTGGCAAACTCATACACTTTGTGAGGATCAGGAAGAGTCTTGGAGACACTCTCCCTCTCCATGCACCTCTTAGCCCATCCAATCAACTTGGGACACTCAGCTTCTATGCTGAAATTGCCAAAGCTCTCAAACACATAAAACCAGCTGTAGAATCCAATGAGGCAAATATCCACAAACCCAAAATTTTCACCCCCAAAGTATGCCTTCTCTCCCAGTTCTCCTTCCAGCACCTTTATGACATCTATGAACTCCTTCTTGCCTGCTTCTTGTTCTTCTCCCTTTAAAGTCCATGTTTTCTTAGCAGCTTCATAGACCTGTAGTTGTAGCACAATAATGACATCAACTCATCCTATGATCCAAATAATCATATACAGTAATTGATAATTATTTAAAAAATAGAATCAATATAAATCAAGGGGTTTTGACATGAATATTACTTAAAAAGAGTTAATGGACAGAAAAAGTGACCTTTCCTTTTAGTTTCAAAAAATATGACTAATAAACCTCTACATGTCTAAAGTACCCTAAGTTAAAAAGCTGCATCCGGTAGTTAATTTCCGTCAAATTGCAAGCCGTGAAAATTGAAGTGTGTAGTTGCGTACTAATTCATTCATTCATTGACTAATAACATTGCAATCATTTTTTTTGCAAGAACGTACATTTTATTGCAATCTCAAATAATTAATGTTTTTTTAATTTAATGTTTTTCCTCAAGATACATATTTAAATATTTAATTATTACACAAAAATTTGATTCAACAAATGTCTTAGTTACTACCGCTCTAGTGACTACTGTCCCAATTACTACCGCTATAGTGACCATCGTCTTAGTTACTACCGCTCCAGTGACCACCGTCTCAGTTACTACCACTCCAGTGACCACCGTCTCAACTACAACCGCTCCAGTGACCTCCGCTTCAGTTACTACCACTACAATGACTAATATTGCAGTTACCAATGTCACGGCCATTGATATCGCAATTAAGTCACGTGCCTCCGGTGACTAACATTCACACATCCAATGACTAAGTGACAAATGTCCGCTCGGCCGGTGACCATTGTCCGCCACAATCTGACTGTGACTACCCGATCAGTTACTACCGTTCTAGTGATCAACTAACCACACTCGTAGTTATCTTTACCGTTGATTTGTGAACTATTTCTACTGATAACCCACCGCACCTGTGATCCACCATCGGTGAAGGTTGCCCAAGTATAGATTGTAGTGAACATCACCGCAAAATGACGCCAATGAGCGTCGTTATCACGGTGCTGAACTCCGCTACTGTCACAGCGGTGACTATATGTTGTTCTCGTCCCGACGGTGGATGCCCCCTAACAGTGACCCTCCCTAGCCCCTCCTCAACACCTTCCCAGACTTCAGCCCCCCATCCCCCAGCTCACGTCCCCCAGACCCTAGCAGGCTAGCAGCCCACAACCCCTAGCAGGCCCCATCCCCCAGCACCTGCACAATCGCATCCCACCACCATACCCTGCCACCCAACCGCCACCCGCCCTAAAGTATACATCAAAGGGTTTCTTCTTTGCAGATGAGTAACCATATGTCATCTTTGTCGAAGTCAGATGTTTTCGTTGAAGAAGATAGAATCACTGCAGATCTAAGAAAAGTTTCGCCGTTTTCGTATGAAGAACAGGCCCGTGCCTTATGTAAGGCTGGAGAGGCCCTAGCCTCAGGGCCCCAAAAATCTGGAAAATTTAGGGACCCAAAAATTTTCAAAAATTAGTACGTAGTATTATACATATGTATTTTATACTCCCTTTGTCCCAATAAAAACTTCTATTTTGACCGGGCACACATATTAAAATAGTGAAAATTGTGTGGTGGAGAGTTGTGCAGAGGAGAGAGAAATGTGTAAGAATGGTTGTGAACCACAAATTCTTTGCCACATATTCCTTGTCAAATTTGGGACGGACTAAAAAGAAATGTATGAAGATAATTCCGGGACGGAGGGAGTATCTAATTAGTCCACCCCTCCAAAGTAAATTGCCCCTGCGATTTGCAAAAGATACGAGCGACCAAAGCGAAGAGGCGAAGATGCGAAGAGCGAAGAGGTCACGGACTAACGAACGAAGGACCGAGGGAGGAATGGAGAAAATCCTTGCTGGCCGGCCCCTGGCTCTGGAGGAAGTCCTTGCCGCCGGCCTTCTCTATTCTCACTTGACTACTCTGTCCTAGAGAATTATTTCTGAATTCTGGCTTCGCACAATCGCACTAGCCAGTAGTTCACAGGTAACATTTTCTTTCCTTCAGCAGGTCTAGCTTTAACTCTTTAAGCTTCTACCGACTACATTTATCGATTCTTGGATTTCTTGCTTATTTGTCAATATTAGTTCATACTGTTCATTCTTTGCTTTTTTTATTTAGGGTTATCATTTATCATCTTTTGGGACTAAGGCTTGGATGTAGTTGTTCGTAGGGTTATCATTTATCAATATTACAATTACGGAATTCTCAATTTACAATTAATTAAATTATAATATTATATGCTTTGTATTTTTTAGAGAAAAATTACTAATATGTATTGTTAAGGATCACACTAAATTATGTATTTTTTTTAGAATCATGCCTCCCAAACATTTGTCTGGATCTCAAAAGAGGAAAAGGAAATTATTAATGATAACATTAGCTATGTTATCAATTGAGAAGGAATTTATTGATAACATAAATTATGCGGACGTGATAAATACTTTTGCATCTAAAACCGTTCGACGAGCTGTACTTAATTAGTTTTTAGTACATTCAGTGATATTATTTTGTTATCATGTAAGACTTTTATTTAGGAATTGTGGTTTTTTATATTTAATCATTGAATTTTAATGAATGATATGAGTATACGACAAACAAACACTATGTATAGGGCACATTTATGATGGTCGTCTCAGGTCCGGGTTTAGTTAAGATCGGCACTGATGAAGAAAAGAAGAAACTGGGGAAAAAACTCATCCAAGAAAAAGTTTTGTCGTTTCTGCGTGAAGAAGAGAAGAAACCCGGTCGAAGAAAATTCGGATGATTTGAAGAACAGAACGTCGTCACTCATTCATGGAGAAGAAACTCACGCGGAAGAGGAAAAGCTGCTACGAAGTGGAGTATTAGGTAAATTGGTAGGAGGGTATTTGAGACACTTCAAATGAGTTTTAATCTGTATTCGTCCATATAGAAAATTAGTCATGAATTTGTCCGCCCTAAAGCTGGAACTCTTAGTTTTAATTGCTCCACTGCCACTTTATTTTAGTTACTTGGCATGCTGTACATAACAAAGAACCGAAAAATTAAAAGTAAATAAGAATAAAACGTTCTCAAATTTCAAAATACTACAGTCACGTTTTTATATTCGAAGTCGGAATAATTGACAATCATTACATTTGAATAAAACCGTGACATTTGTAGATTGGAATTTCGAAACTTTTTTACCACGGAGATAGTTCCTAGAGTTATTACCTGCTTGTTAATGTAGTCGGCCCAGAACTTAGCCTGGGATTTCTGATAAGGATCAGATGGGAGCAGAGGGGCTTTGTCCTTCCAAACTTCATCAATATACTCCACTGCGATGGCGGACTCGCAGACCGGCTTGCCGTTGTGGATGAGAACCGGGATCTTCTTGTGAACCGGGTTCATCTTGAGAAGCAGGTCGCTCTTGTTCGTGAGGTCCTCTTCTCTGTACTCATACTTGATCTCCTTCTCGGCCAGAGCAATTCTTACTCTCATGCCAACCCTGCTCGCCCAGAAGTCCAACAATATCACTTCTTCTTGTTCTTGACGCATTTCACTCCCCAAAAAGCAAAACCAAAAAAAAAATGCAACTGGATGGGAGGATATTGTTTCTCAGCTGTGTCTGATCGGTCCGTGTCTTTTGGCGGCTTGATTTAGGGGATGATGATATACTCCGTATTGTTTTGGTGGACCAATACGGAAATGTTTTTATTTTTTTCTAGAACCTTTGACTATTCCTAAAACATTTGTGAAGGTTGACCCGCATTTGTGAACATTCCTAAAACATTTGTGAACATTTGTCGTAAGAGTGAAATTTGGTGGGATGATCGGGTCTATTTAAGTCTGATCTGATAGATTTATGATTTTTGTGTATTTGAAAACTATGAAAGTCTGATCTGATGTGGTCTGATTTGTTTAGGTTTAGTTTGATCTGATCTGATTTGATCTGATCTATGAAAGTCAGATTTGTTTGGTTTGAGACTGAAAACGATTCAAGTATAAGTAGTACGGAGTACGATAGTACATAGTACTCCCTCCGTCCCATTTTTAACTCCGGTTTTGACCGGGCACGAGTTTTAAGATAGTGGGATTTGTGTGGTGGAGAGTTATGCAGAGGAAAGAGAAATGTGTAAGAATGGTTGTGAATCACATATTCTTTACCAAAAAGGGAAAAAGGAAATAAATTTGGAACGGATCGAAAATGAAAGAATGAAGATAAAGAGGAAGTATATTATAGGAATAGTAAACTGTTCAATCAGCCCCCACCCACCACCGCCAATTCATCCACGCTAACCACCACTATTAGCCGCCAACCATTTCTCTTTTCAATCAATAGACAAAAAACCTTTTCTGAAAAAACTTTGAAAAGAATATCGGAAAACATTGTTGTGCGATAAATTTTTATGACTAAAATAGGACTAATAACAAAGTTAATTGCACATTTAGGACTATAAACGAAACACGAGTTTCATAGGACCATTTTTAGAATATTGGACAAAAATACCCCTCTTTTAATATTTTAAATTTTAAAAATGTAAAATACTAAAATTAAAAACTACTGAAACCCTAGCTGTAAATCTGCCGCCACCAGAGCCAAACCTCCCGCCGGCGCATTCTGCCTCCGCCCTCACTAGTGACAGCGCCACCTGTCGCCGCCGTCGCCGGCAAATGCGCCTCCTGTTGTCGCCCTTGCCGCTTGCTGTCACATCCTTACCAGCGCACCATTGCCACCCATCGCTGCCCCCTGATGCCGCCGCTTCCCACAGTGGCGTCACCATCCCTGCCATCGCCATCTAACCGGCGTTGACATCCACCACCACCGCCATCTAGGGCTGGTTTCAGTTCGGGTCCCGAACCGATCTGAACAAACCGAAAACCGAACCGACATTTCGGTTTTACTAATTATCAAAATCGAAACCGAACCGATCATTAACCGGGAACCGATTAGTCGGGAGCCAATTTTTCGGGTCGGTTTATCGGAAACCGATAAAAAACCGAAATATTTAAAAATAATATAAATATTGTACTACTTTTAACAATTCTAAGCCCAAAACAAGTTTATGATTTTTATATTAATTTGATCACCCAAGCCCATGAGCTGGGAGCTTACCAATTAGCCTTAACCAACTTGAAATGTCTTTATATAAAGAATTTTGGAAGAGTAAACCATCTCTTGTCCGGTGTGGGACAAAGAGACATTGGAAAAAAAAAAATCAAGGTCCAAACAAAAACAAGCCCTTGCGGAAGTCGATCCCTAAACCTCTCCATTTTGATACCGCATCAGGGACCAATTTGCCAGAACGCTTGGTTTGTCACTTTAGATCTCAGAATATTAATATAACGTTTCTAATTCTCATTAACTCTACTAAAAATGTCGGTTCGGTTCGGTTTGAACCGACTTTTTAACAATATAAACCGAGCCCGAACCATTTTTGTATCGGGTCCCAATTCTCGGGTCCCATTTTCAGTCGGTTCGGGTCGGTTCGGTTTTTTTTCAAAGTGGTTCGGTTTTTTTCGGTTCGGTTTTCGGTTTTTCGGTCTAAAATGCCAGCCCTACCGCCATCCTCTGAGCACCACAACTCAAGCGGGATAAATCTTCCATTATTTTGGCAGATTTAGAGTTGGGGATTAGATCCACATCTGCCATAACACAAGAGTTTCAGATCTGCCAAAGAGTTGGCAGATTCATGTTGGAATATTAACACAAAACTGCCATAAATTTGACAAAAAGTAAAAAACATGAAGTAAATAACCAAATATTCAAACAACTAAATTTTTTAGTGGAATAATTTTCTTAGCACAATCGGAAATTAGAAAAACGAAGGTATTGAAAAAAATCAGAAAAACCAATTTATACAAAAGCATTTCTGCCATAATATGATGTTAATGTACAGATTTCTGCCATAAACTTGGCCAAATCCAAAGCAATCATCCAAAATGTTGAAAATCAGAATTTGTTTTAAAACTCAGAAACTAGAAATCAGAAAATCTAAACAGAAGTCCGAAAATTGGAAAATTCAATTCCAAATCCATAAAACAGAGGAAAAATGAAGAAGAGGAAGAGGAAGAGGAAGAGGAAGAGGAAGAGGAAGAGGAAGAGGAAGAGGAAGAGGAAGAGGAAGAGGAAGAAGAAGAAGAGGAAGAAGAAGAAGAAGAAGAAGAAGAAGAAGAAGAAGAAGAAGAAGAAAAAGAAAAAGAAGAAAAAGAAGAAGAAGAAGAACCTTAATGGCAACGGCGAAATCAGCGGCGTGAGAGAGATCGAGCTCGGTCGATCTGGTGCGCAGGGCGAAGTCGGCGGCGGCGGCGATGGCCTGGGTGAAATCGATCGATGATGCGCAAGGAAGAAAGAGAAGGATGTGCGCAGGAGAGAAGGGGGGAAGAGTTTGTGCGCAGGGGAGATGTGCGTAAACGGGTGAAGGGGTAATAATGGAATGAAATATACGTATGTTTTAAAATAGGAGTAAAATAGTCCTATTTGGGGAAAAAACATACATGGTCCTATTTAAGAATTTCTCCCCTTTTAATCCTATATGGGGCAATTACTTAATTTTTATTTTGTAATTTTTTTTAGATATAAACCAATGTTTTATCACATACTACTAAAAATCGCTACGAGGAATAATGTTTTATGTCGATTTTATTCACCGAAAACATTAACAGAATGATAATTTATGAACAAAAACACAATAGTCATATATCAAAAGTGGTAAAAGTCAAGTCGTGAACTATGTAGAATTGGTGCAATACTTATGACAAAAAGTTGTAGATATTATGAAAACGTGTTGCGAGGTGGTGAAATTTGTTCCTTGGCCGACCTAGAGTAATACTCCTCTCCATTTCCTTCACTCCATTTACTTTATCTATTTCTTTATCACTCTATCTCTCTCCTTAAAAAATTAGTTAAACCTCATCTTTTCTTTCCCCCTACCCCACCATTTCCCTATCTCACTCTATCTCTCTCCTAATGGAGAATTCCAGTTACCGGAGAGGAGCTAAATTCGGCTGACCAAATGTGTTTTTGAATGAGATCCGCTTTGATGCTTTCATAGTATGACTTTGACTCCTTCATGTGAATTGCTCGTCTCAGACATACTCCCTTCGTCCCTTAAAATTTTGTCAACTTTTCTTTTTGGATGTTCCATTTACTTGCCACTTTCCCCTTTAAGTAACGAATTTGCGGTTCCAGTTAATGCTCTCTCCTCTGCACAAATTTCAACCAAACAGTTTTTACTTTATTAATCCTCGTGTCGGTCAAACTTGGCAAAGTTTTAAAGGACGGAGGGAGTATCTTTCAATCTTTGCTTGAATCAATTGATTGGGATAATAACACAATGTGATATGATTAATTCGGGTCTAGTCCACTTTGATCCTTTATTTATTTATTTTTGAGATATTACCTAGGACAAAAACATTTTGAAAATTCTAAAATAGGACTGCCATGTTTTTATTCCCAAAATAGGACTAATTACTACCATGTTTTGGCAGTACCAGACTTCAAACATGTCAGTATTTTCTAAACATGGCAGTACTTAGTCCTATTTTGAGAATAAAAAACATGACATTCCTAGTTTGGAATTATAAAACTGTTTTAGTCCTATTTGGGGAACTTTCCCTTTATTTTTTTTTTCACGGTATGCTTCCCATTCTTTTGGGACATTTCCCAAAATAGGAGTAAATGAAGTTTTAAATTCCAAAATAGGACTATTATGTTTTATTCACGAAATGGGACTAACATGACAGTATTTACTGTCATCTTGTAGGCGTGACTGTCAAATAGTTGCAGTACAGTACATTTAACATGCCAATATTTATTATAATTAATGACATTATTTTTCAATCATGGCAGTATTTTTCATACATGACAGTAATAACTCCTATTTCGAGGAAAAAAACATGCTAGTCCTATTTTGAAATTCCAAATCTGATTTGCTCCTATTTTGGGAAATTTCTCCATTCTTTTGTGTTCCTATTTCATCTCTCATTTTGATGTTACTAATGAACTTCTTTCTTGAAAAACATTTTTAAACACCATAAACATAAAAGAGTCCATGTTGCACATTAAAAAAAAAAATAGTTTGCAAAATATTTAATAACTAATAAGTAAAGTGATTGAAAATCACAGATTCATTTGATTTGAGCCCCAAAAGGTAGGAAAATTTTGAGCCTAACAGGCATCTTGATTTTAGAAATTATAAACACACAGTGGTATATCTAGAACTTTTCTCAAGCGGGGCACTACTATATGGACGGAGACGGGTCGGGTCGGGTGTGAGACTAATCTATTCAATGTGTAGACAATTTTTTAAACAAAAACAAGTTATTCAATGTCAATTTCAAATGATTTACATCTATGTACAACATGTCTGGTTTTCAACCCATTAAAACAATTGTAAATAATAATATTCAGTTTCTTGAAAGAAAAACATAATACTTCATATGAATTAGAACTGAATCATCCTGGCATCATTTCTGGATTTGGATTAGAATTCAAGTTCTTTTTGTACTACAAACTGTTAGAATTTTGATTTAGAAGTAGGATAGTGTCCAATGTTATACGTCGTGCCACAGAATTACACTGTCCAAAATGCTTTCATTAACTTGGGATTAAATTGTGCACCCTAACATGTTACTCCCGGTCAAGCTAAA